AATGTGTGTTAAATAGCAGCGATTACAGTAGGCTGTTGGTGAATTTGCACCATTATTTCTGTTTCAACCTACTTGAATCATACTTCGCAAACTACAAACTAATAAATAAAACTCGTTGAACTGGAAATTGACTACGTCTTACAAAATAAAGGAACCTTTAAAAAATAAAAATAAGTACATGAGCCTCTTTTCAAACATATAATTTTGAGTGTGGTAGGAACTTTTACCCAAAACTTGGGTAAACATTACCCGTAGTAGCACTGCAACACATGTTATTAGTTGACAAATGTGTGTCTTTCACTTAACTTCGTGATTTTAATGAACTTATGGAGAGCTAAATATTCCTGTTACATTTTCATGACTAGTATAGGCTGCAAGTGAAAGTTACACAATTTTTTAACATGCCGTCTTCCTTCATAACAATCACTCAAAGGAAAATTTATAATAAGTGTTTGATGACTTTTCAACTACGCTATTATCACATTTACCAAAAGTAAAGGACTTACCTAAGTAAACAACTACATATACACATACCATAAACACAGCATCATTGGATAGGATTTTTCGACTGCATAACTCTTGCAATGCATAGCATTGCAGATGCAATGCACTCGGTGTTCGCTACAAGCTGTAAAAAACTGTCCCTCATTTGTGTTTGAACACGAAGCATCTCTCGAAGAAGATCTTCATCTTTTCGGGCAGAAGAGGTTCGTGGCCTCCTGCCACTTCTGATCGTACTTGGCATTGGAGATGAACCCATTTCATCAGTGGAATCACCAGTTACAGTTGACCTAACAGCTGTGGCAGAAGGGGTACTAGACCTACTTCGCTGTTCCGTGGTAGCAGCAATAGGTTGACGAGTATTGCTTGAACTACATGTTTCTACCTCATATGTTCCGGATGATGAAATTCCAGGAATGTTTGTAGGTGCTGAAGTTTCAGGTTCTAAATGCACAATGGGTACTGTGATATCATGTTCCTGTATATCCTCATTCAGAATGAGGGTTATAGAATCATCTTTCTCTTGAACGGGCCGAAACATAAATTCCTCTCGGAAACAACTACCGGTAGCTGTAAACCTAGCTCCTGAGGGTCCGGGGGTTGGTTCTCTTTCTTCTTCTGGAAAGAAATGTAGTATAATAGGTTGATTGAAGTCTATGTTAAGAGTATAATTAAAATATTACACTGTATTTCCAAATATACAAAAGCTTTTAGGAAAAATAATGGTTTGAAAAATAGTGTTGACCATCTAAATATATTTGTTTAAAATATTTTTAAATCTAAATATCAACTAGGCGTTAAATTTCTTATATTTGCACTTCTCAATTTTGTCCATTAACATACGAGTTATAACAACATTTAATATATAACTTAGGGAAGCAATAAACAAGCTAGAAATGAAACCAACTTACTAGTGTTGTTATTTTTCAAAATTATATAAAAAATCAGTATACTGTACAGTATTTCCAAATCAAGATGTGAAAAAATGTCTCCAAAAGTGTTTTTTAAATAAAAAGAAGGACAGAAAAGAACAAAATATATATCAGGGGGTTGGAAAAGTATTTTGACTGAATTACCATTAATAGGTTCTTCACTTTCAACATCCCCTGGAATCCTTGTATAGAGGCTGGATCTAATAGTTGAAGAATTGCTTCTTCAATTGCAGTGTATGTAATTTCAATTTGGGGGCCGCCACCTTGAAGAGAAAATATAAATAATAACTGTCTTACTGTGAGCTGTGGTTACATACACTATACGCTAACTATGTTATATTTGGCAGAAATCATAGTTACAAAGGAATCTACTGAAATAGTTCCAAACATTATAACCTAACCTATCATTGTAGCTGTAGCCACAAAAATTCTCCTTTATCTATGTCAAAAGTTAATTAGATTTAATGTAACAAACAATAAATGGTAAAATAAGTCAAAAAAAATAGTCGCAGCCAGAAATTTTCAACCTGTATTAGTTGTAAACTCATAGGATCGAACATCCTTGCCTATAAGCCTAACAAAGTAAAATTTACATATTAATGTATATCAAATATGAATATAAATCTATTGATGAATGAAAATTAACGACATAAAAAAAGGAATTCTATGGCAACTTATACATTATGACCTTCATTACCGTCGGAAATAACGTAATTATTAATATGTAGTTTATAACAGTAACCAAACCTACCTAACCTAGCTTCCTTTACCAACGGGAGGCCTCCGCCGCCCTGCCACACAAACTCATATTAACTATCTCTGTTCCACGTCAGTTGCGACAAAATGACAAGTGTGTCTTAAAATTGTGTAATCTAGATGATAGGTATAATAAGAAAATCCAAAAGTTGTGGGGAAATTATTAACAGTAGTACAGACTTCCCTGACTACCGGGTGGGAAGATATTGGAAGCATAATGTGTTGTCTAATGGTAGACCCAGCTGCCATATGGCATCACGAAAATTAGGAGCAAGTCTAAGGTTGCTGATCTGACTAAATGTGTCATTTACACACAATTGCAGGGTCGCAATTGTTTCTCGTAATATCGACAACACAACATACATACTGTATAGTGATTCTCACTTTTTGTGTTTTCATTTCGGTATTTATGGTTATTTGTTATTAATATTATTATTTATAAAGAGGTATTTTTATTAATAGTACTAAAGAATTATTATTACAGGCCCCGAAGTGGGTCCGTGACTGTGCCTGGGTTGGTTAATCCACGTAAAAAGAAAAAAAAAATTTAGGTTGAACGGTAAAGTTTTTACTATTTACTCACACGGAAAACTTCGAAGAGCGATATTTCTTTTAATGAATGTGCTCATATAAGGAAAATATGTGTATTCATTCACGATGGAGAGCCACCACACTACTTACTTCCTTGAGTTTACAAACACGTAAAATCGTACCAAGCCTCAGAAAAACCATAGTTAAGTTTGTTTCATATTGTCAATCAATAACCACGCTAACACTATTATGACTTACCTGTTCCACCAGCATATTTCTTATCTTGTGCTGCTTTTTTCTTAACGCTAACACGAAGATCAGAAAACTTCCACCGAATTTCAGTAACATTGCGGGTGACTCTACCAACAGCATTCACCGCATTTAACACTTCACCCCAGGCTGGTTTTTGAGTTGAAGTGTACAACTACTTGAGTCCAACTTCCCTAAAATCATTTCTTTTCGTTTGGCTACCTCAGTCACAAGAGCGTATACTTCAGCCTCACTGAAATTAGGCCGTCTCATCTTGGCTGGTGGTCCTTCCATGTTTACAAAATAATATTACGTGCGTCGCTCTCAGCTGATTTCTTCTTCTCTTGTGATTGGTTGATGATTTTGTTAACTGAGCGTTGATTGGCCAACTAGCATCTACACTGACATCTACCGTCCGACAAGAGAACTTAATTTACAGGGTAAACACTAGAGTTACGAGAACTTACGGAAGTCTTACGGAACCATAATTAAATTTTGAGTATGCTAAATTTATGGTACTGTAAGGCTTCCACAATATATGGTACTGTATCATGCTGAAAAACGTAACTTATGAGGTGTTTTGAGTATCCGGCCCGAGGTCGGGCCCGCAGGGGGAAATCGAGCGAGAATGAAGAAGTGTTGGGAAGAGGTGCGTGAAGAGGAAAAAGTGTTGGGAAGAGGTGCGTGAAGAGGAAGAAGTGCTGGGAAGTGGTGCGTGAAGAGGAAGAAGTGCTGGGAAGTGGTGCGTGAAGAGGAAGAAGTGCTGGGAAGTGGTGCTGAAGAGGAAGACGTGTTAGGAAGTGGTGCGTGAAGAGGAAGAAGTGCTGGGAAGTGGTGCGTAAAGGGGATGAAGTGCTGGGAAGAAGTACGTGAAGAGGAAGAAGTGCTGGGAAGTGGTGCGTAAAGGGGAAGAAGTGCTGGGAAGTGGTGCTGAAGAGGAAGAAGTGTTAGGAAGTGGTGCGTGAAGAGGAAGAAGTGTTGGGAAGAAGTACGTGAAGAGGAAGAAGTGCTGGGAAGTGGTGCGTGAAGAGGAAGAAGTGTTAGGAAGTGGTGCGTGCAAGTAACTAGGTGTTAGGCAGTGTTACTAGTCAACAACACAGCACACAGCCTCTGCCACTAGTCAACAACACAGCACACAGCCTCTGCCACTAGTCAACACAGCATCCTCTGCCACTAGTCAACAGCAGCACACACAGCCTCTGCCACTGTCAACAACACAGCACACAGTCTCTGCCACTAGTCAACAACACAGCACACAGCCTCTGCCACTAGTCAACACAGCACACAGCCTCTGCCACTAGTCAACACAGCACACAGCCTCTGCCACTAGTCAACACAGCACACAGCCTCTGCCACTAATCAACACATCACACAGCCTCTGCCACTAGTCAACACATCACACAGCCTCTGCCACTAGTCAACACAAACCCAAAACTTTCTGCCACTAGTCAACAACACAGCCTCTGCCACTAGTCAACACAGCACACAGCCTCTGCCACTAGTCAACACAGCACACATCCTCTGCCACTAATCAACACAGCAGCCTCTGCCACTAGTCAACACAGCACACAGCCTCTGCCACTAGTCAACACAGCACACAGCCTCTGCCACTAGTCAACACAGCACACAGCCTCTGCCACTAGTCAACACAGCACACAGCCTCTGCCACTAGTCAACACATCACACAGCCTCTGCCACTAGTCAACACATCACACAGCCTCTGCCACTAGTCAACACAAACCCAAAACTTCTGCCACTAGTCAACACAGCACACAGCCTCTGCCACTAGTCAACACAAACCCAAAACTTCTGCCACAACCAGTATCAACACAGTTCACACTTCCCCTGGGGACTAACTATCACCGCTATACTTGTTGCCTGTCGGAGTGGTGGGGTGGGGGGGGGGGATGGGGGAGATAGGGGAGAGAAATGGGGAGATAGGGGAGAGAAATGGGGAGATAGGGGAGAGAAATGGGAGAGCTAGGGGGAAATCTACCTTATCCATCTCTTTCACCAAGCAAACTGGTCCTGTCACAATATTGTATGTAAATTCGCTACGGACGCTTATTGTGTTCGTTCTTGGGCCGCCTGTAAATATGGATAAGATTAACTACCTACTTTGTCTGTCTGTCTGAGTGTCATTTATCTCTCTTTGTCTCCTCAGTTTCTCCATTACACGTCTCTCTCAGAAAAACAAAAACACTCTTTATTCTAATGTATTCTATTTTTTCTTTTGCTTATTTATTGATGAGGTTTTGTAAGGTGGAAAAATGAGTGTTCTCTATCTCTGACTCTTAATCTCTTTCTCTCTGTCTGATTCTCTCTCTCAGTCTGCCTATTGTCTAACCTTATATTGTAGACTCTCTCTCTCACTCTCTCTCTCTCTCACTCTCTCTCTCTCTCTTGCTCTCTCTCACTCGGTTGGTGTTTGTTCTCATTTGACCCGAGTACATCAACGCAGTTTGTGATCTCGTTAAACATCCTCGTTATCCTGTTCGTTATAGAGCTGCCCTTCCATCTCTCGGGACCGGAGATTGCGTTATGGGAGTCTTCATTGATCGCATGACGTCTGAAATCTCGTTAACCTCCCTCGTTCAGCATTTCGTCATGGCATGGTACCCGAGATGGCAGTGTATGTTAAACGAGAGAGAGAGAGAGAGAGAGAGAGAGAGAGAGTCAATAAATAAGACATAAAACGAGACAGAATGACGTCATACATTACCATTGGCCGACTGTGATACTGAGATAAACACTGTCCACTGATTGGCTGTTTCTGCACGTCAAGTTCTTACCTCAAATGAGAAGACAAATGAATTTAGTTACGAGCTAAAAATTGGGTGAAACATAACTAACATTATACTAGGAACACGTAATAAATGTTTAATTGGTCTTACACTTATTTACAAATCCTGCTGTACCCAATTAAGATTATATGAGTGAATTCCAGCTACGACTAAGATTAAGAGGAGAAAATCTTGTAAGATGATTTTTTTTTCTTAATCATCTGTGTATTTAAATTTCCCATACACACAGGTCACCTGGGCGTTAAATTAAGCAGTGCATAAAAAAAATGATTTTTAAGGTACATATGTAAATGAAAAATTACGTAAAAGGAAACAAGTAGAATTTATCATTATTTCAGTTTACTTAATTACATGGTACTATTACTGAACTCTATTATATAATTCATTTGTATATTAATTATCTCTGGACTAATTCATTTAGATAGAATCCACAAGAATAGGGCAGGGTATCAGGAACGGGTATAAGGGAGGGTAAGAGGAAAGGGTATCAGGGGGAGAGTAGGAGGGAAGACAAGAGGAAGGGTATCCGGGAAGGAATGAGGGAGGGTATGAGGGAGGGTATGAGGGAGGGTATGAGGGAGGGTATGAGGGAGGGTATGAGGGAGGGTATGAGGGAGGGTATGAGGGGGAGAGTAGGAGGGAAGACAAGAGGAAGGGTATGAGGGAGGGTATGAGGGAGGGTATGAGGGAGGGTATGAGAGGTATTATTTTCACCAAAAGTATGAAAATTCTGCACCACCACCGTTTATCGCCTCCTAACCCCCCCCCATCCATCCCCAGAATTTTGGAGAGGAGAGGAGAGACACACACCCACAACAGATTCTGTTTTGATCTGAATATTTAACCCCCATGAGTCCTAGACTTAGTTATGGTAAAAGTTCAAGACACAACAAATTACTTTAATACTTGATTCTGCGCGAAACAAAAATTCTTCTCTAAAAAGGTTGATTGTGTAAAGTTTCAGAATTATACATGAACCAGAAATTGCATCATGTGGATCTTAAGCCATCATATATTTTTCCTTATTTTTTAAGACAGTTTATGAAATTGAAAGTCAAGAGGGTACACACGCTAGCCCAGTGCTGGATTATTATTATCATTAATTATTATTATTATTATTATTATTATTATTGTTACCATTATTATTACTCGTTATTCTTTCAATTATTATTTTATAAAATCCATGAACGAATGGCTCTTTAAGCAGAGACAATGAGGGATAAATAGTCACAACACAGACTGTCAACATGTTTCAATAGACTTAATTTGGGCTTTGACCGTGACACACACACACACACACACACACACACACACACACACACACACACACACACATAATACTCACACACAAAAGACGCACAAATAGTCATACACAAAACGCACATATACTCATACACAAAACACACACATACAAACACATACATATGTAAAACACACGTACGTGCTCGTTCAAGTGACATTTATGCTTCGGATATTCCGGCAGAAATTTTTAGCAATCTGCAAATGTTTCATTGATTACTTCAGCCATACGCGTGCGGCCTCCACCCTAGTTATATGTTGGGGAGGCGCGAGGGAGAGAGGAAAGGGAATGAAGAGGAGGGGTTTACACACACACACACACACACACACACACACACACACACACACACACACACACACACACACACGAAAAAAAGAAAAGAGCAAAATGAGAGCGATATATTAGGAGAACGAAAAGGAAAGACCAAATAAATGAGAAGAATTAGTGGGAGGTAAGACATATATTGCCTTCATCTTCAAGTTCCATCAATCCATTGTTTGGTAAACGCCTACCCCAGATGCTTCCACGACCTTCTGTAATAAAACTTTCTTTTCCATTCGGTACCTCCAAAACTTTTTAATCTCTTCTCTCCATGTGCTGTACGAGCCAAACTTTTTTCCCCGTATTTCCTGTCAAGGAATCCAGTACAAGATCTCATTAATATACTGTTGGTTCGTTGTTCATCTGGCACCTCCATGTTCTGCCTACTGACATTTCATTTCCTTTGCCCTTACAATAACAAATCGTACTTTGGTTGGTGATCTCTCTCATTCTTTTTTTTTCTGTGTATATAAACTGTACGTGTTAAGTCAGGCACATATCGTTTCATGCCTCTTTAAGTAGCCTGGAGTTTTTGTTTCATATTTGCTTTTCATTATCATGTCTCGGAACAATATCTCAGCATTAGTAGTGTGGACGGGTTACCCATTTTATATTTCAGGCAAAGTTGCACGATAACTAGGTACACTCAGCAAACGAAAGTACCGCACGGATTATGTGCGAAACACTGTGACACCATGGACGAGGGATAATGTGTGTTGGACCTGTATTATGGTGGTAGACCTGCTGTCC